GTGTGTGTGTGTGTGTGTGTGTGTGTGTGTGTGTGTGTGTGTGTGTGAGAGAGACCAACTTTAGGTAGATTAATACAGGAATCCGCTTAACTCTCTGCAACAAGAGTTCAAATACTGTAGGCAAGTCGAGAATCCTTTTTGCTGCTGCTGCTTCGTTTTAAGAGACTTTACGAAACAAACTTAATGTGAGCGATAAGACATCACCAAGAATGAATTGATTCTTACTGATATAAATGCACTTTTTCTTTTGTAAGAAATTTAGAATTTCAAATGTAAGATAAACGGTAATAATATACTGATCTTGAGACAGTTTTTTTTTTTTTTTTTTTGATAAGTGGTTTTAGGACTGTTAAATGATTTGCTAAAGTAAGCGTAATGATGATAATGGTAAGCATTTGGGGGAATGACTAGGTAAGACTTGAGGCCTCTTAACATAGTTAGTTTTATAATGTAGCTCCTCCTAAAATGGATTAAATAGGACTCAAGAGGAGGTCGACATCTTAATTGCAGTATTTTGGATCCACGTCTGCGTTCGAGTGTCCCAGTCTTTCTCGCCAAAGCGTTTTGTTAGACAATGGCTGGTTGAGCCATCAAGGCGTCTCCTGGTCACGATCATTGCATGCTTTTTCCAGCGAGTCTTGCTCCCTTTTTTTTTTTTTTACTTTTTAGTCATTTTATAACGGGTCAATTTGGAGGGATCTACCTTTATAAGAGCTTTATCGATGGCAGTGCAACTCGCTGCTGGACTAATAAGGTACTTCTTCCAGCTTTCGATCAAACTAGTGATTGCCAATGCCATATGTTCACCCGTTGATACTGTGTAGTATTTGCCTGGGAATACACTGAATCCCAATAGTTCTCCCCTGACACCGGTTAGCTTATGTGAGAGTGGTGGTCTTTGTCCAGCTTTATCTTTTAGTCATTGTTCATAGTGGACGCTTGTAACGGAAGTGTGTATGGCTGTTTGCCTGTTGCTGTTTTACTATAAAGGTGTGTACTCGAGTACTGCTTAGATGTAATTTTGCACCAGCGCTACAATAAAGTTATGTCAGGGGGGGGTGTAGTTTGAGTCATGCCCGAGTATCAACACTTGTCTGCTAGTTGGAAGTTTTATCGCCGTTTTCTCAAATCTCCTGAAACGAAGGCCGTCGCTGAAGGAAAACAGCAGAATTGGTTCCCTCCTGAATATCAGCTCACGTCAATAATTATGTATTTTATAAAGTAAGGCCCCCCACCCCACGGGGCGGATACCGATGGCATCTTATCCAGGTTTAACTGGATAAGATGGCATCGGTATCCGCCCCACCCCACGGGGCGGATACCGATGGCATCTTATCCAGGTTTAACTGGGAGGCAAGCATTGAGATTTGCGACGGCCGCTCACTGATTATAGGCTGCACAGATCAGCTCTGGGAGCAGTAACTGAAGTTCAGCTGCAAATAATTGGTAAAGTTGAAGCTTCACTACTCCCCACCATGTTGCGATACACTAAGCTCTATACAGAAGTAAATTTAAATGCAAGTTGGCCACAAGTTGTTTTTTTATTTTATTTTTTTTATTATGTTCATATGATGGTTTTGTTTTTATTAATTTATTTCTTTTTATTTTTTTGTGCTCCAGTGCACAAATTCTTTTGGACTTTAAAAGTTTTTTTTTTTCTCCTTTTTTATTCTTTTTGTTTTAAAGAATACTTTTGTTTTCGTTGTTTTATAGCGGACGATTTGATAATGTCAAAGTTGATGTTGTGGTTGGACTGAAGGAGAGTCGTTGTCGGGTGCATATATCTTGGGGAAGAATGTGGAAAACTAATTCATAACTTTGTTTCAATCTGATATCAAGGCTGACAATTGAATTTGATGTAGTACCTTCTTTTTTTTGCTCAACTGTGGTGCAGGTTGGATGTTATCTGATGTATCCCTTTTTATTTAATTTTTTGTGAATAGGGGAAATAAACATTTTTTTTCTATTAACCTTTGAGTCGTCTGAATGTTTTTGTTCCACTGAAACTTTTAAGTCGGACTGTAAACATCACAAACACGTAGCGGGCATCGCTTCCTTGTGAGCTGGGAGTGTTTCTTGTCTTGCAAATGAACTAAAGTGACATTTGAATAATGGAACTCGATGCACGGCAGAGACTGTAAAATAAAAGCTTATTGAAGTCTGACCATGTAACAAACCGCTCGGGAAGGATTTTAGAAAACCCGAGTAATGAGTGCATCCATGTTCTAGTTCCAATTTCACCTAAATGTGTTTTTCACACAAATGCATGTCCTAATGAAGTACGTTCAGCCTCTACAGCTTACATATAAACAACACCGGTAATCCAATATTGCTTTACAATTATGGGATTTAACTGCCTGCACAATTTCTCAAATTCAATTGGTCCGCTTGCCCAAAGTATTTGTGACGATAAAGTTTTTTCCTTTTTCTCACGGTTGTAAAACCTTTTGACTTTGATTCTTCTATTGGACTAAGGCGGTTCAGTAGTCGGGCTTCAGAAGATGACATTTAGTAAGGTGAATATGGGCACACCTGTTTGATTAGCAGTGTTTGTTGTGCCAACGATCACTAGATTGTGAAAGGAGATTATTTCATTGCATCTCGGACATGTCTGCAGATTATATCATGACAGTTTTGCCTGTCAAAAATGCTGTCCTGAATAACACACCCTCTGCATGTATCTGTGCCAAAGTGTAAGCGATGAAAGCAAACTGTGAGGTGAGCAGCAGACGATGCACATGTTTGCATGTTTCTTCTTGCAACTTTTAACTAGTTACTTTAAATAGTCGATCGCACATGAAAGTCATAAAATGTCCAAAGTGAGGTGGTAATTGCAATAAAATGAATGCCTCCGCTTGTTGCATTGTGGGTAATGTAGGAGCCAGTTTTTTTCACCGTGAAGTGGGATAAAAAAAAACAAAAAACCTGATCTTGGGTTTTGTTGCATTGACTGCACCACATATTACACTCTAGATATTTATCAATAAATATTCATTTCTTTTTATTGCACTTTTTTTTTTCTTTTTTTTTTTTAACATGTTCCTTGTAAGGATTTCAATTGTAGACACATTTAATCTTTTAATGAAATGTACAATGAATTATTAATAAATTGACTGTAATGTCATTTACATCAAATCCTAAGCTATGGTGACCATTCTTTCGATTATAACGAAGGTGACTTGGATGAAATGGAAAGATGAATGCAATTTAACCAAGAAGAAAACTTTTAAAATGTGATCAGAGCTGGAAAAGACGGGCATATCTCCTCCAATTCGGCGACAGTCTGGTGATTGAACAACATACATATTCCATGTGAAGAAATCTAAGAAATCCTGTCCTGTAAAGCTGCAGCCACGACAGTCATGGTGCCATTTGCTGTCGGTGAGAGACAAACTGATGTTCCATTAAAGACCCATCTTAAGTTATAGACATTATTTGTGTATTATGTTTGTAAAGCATCTTTGAGAACTTTAAAAGCACAATACATATCTGATGTATAGTAACATAATTTAAACTGTTGAGTCCTTAGATATGTTTCTTATCATTATCGTTTGAAAACACTTTCATACAGAAGATTTCAAAAATGCTTTGCCAACTAAAAACTGTGCACTGTTGACTGACTTGAGAACAAGCTGCTGTGCAGAGTTGTTAGTTAGAGAAATGTCTGGATATGGTCACTGTTGATGCATAGACACATGGAAACTACATAAAGACATATTGTAATTCTTTAATACTCAAATATTGATTTGCCACTCTGATCCCTTACTGCTACACGCAAGTTATGCATGTGGATCTACATCATGATACCACAGGTCATGCATAGCTAGACAACTCGTACGTTACTGAAAGAGGCGGAACGTGATTCTATAGCTTTAATCCTTAGTCATACTTTGCACATGTAGTGGGGAACGCTCCTCAGAATAGGAAGTGTTGTGAACGTAGGCTCCTCCCCTCAATTAGTGCCAGCATTTATAAGGCACCTGTGGTCCTGGCCTCACTCCTTCTTGGCCCCTGTTCTGGTGGTGAGTGTCTCATATATACCTCCTCTTGTTGCCGTCTGACTACTTACCCCTTGTTTGAGGTGGTAAGTAGTCACATCTTAATTTGTATTATTTTGCAGCATGGTGTGCCCTTTTAATCTCTGTTTATCATTTGTAGGTTCACCTGCTGCTGTTTTGCCGCCTCCATTTAGTTTGATTGTTT